TTTAAACTAAAAACAAAAATCAAACTTAACCGAACCTATAAATTAAAATATACTACCATAAGATATGATGTCAACCTCAAACCACAAAATACAAAGTCCTTGAAAAAAATTAATTAAGTCGAAATTTGAATCCATGATATATACTATGAATAATATTGATTTCATCCAATATTATAAGAAGGTATACCTTGACCGGTCACCGGCCCATTCGAATATTCCCAAAGAATTTCTTGTACATTAGATTACAAAATTATCAACCTTCTTCCATTTTATTCATGCTTAAATCTCAGATTCCCCTCTCCTTACCTTATCTGAAACTTCAACATAGTTTCTATGATTTCTTTTCTTTTTTTCCTTTTTATGAGACCATCAATACAGTTTCTGTTTGTTTGTAAGAAATTTTACTTTCTTGGCTTGGAATTAGCATGAAGAATGAAGAAATAGAAACGCCCTTCATGCAGAGGAGATGGGAGATTTGGGGAAGAGGAGAGATAAAGAATAAATGAGAGAGACTAATAATTTGTTGATCCGAATAAAGGGAGTTTAATTTCTTTTAAATGAGGTTTAAAGTTTAAATCTTGTTAATAGAAAAACAAATGTTAGGAAAACTTTCTTTTTTATAAAATTCTAGTTATTCGATTCTGAATTAATTGAGAACTAATGTAGTTATTGGATATCGAGAAATTAAAAAATAAAAAATAAAAAACTGAGGGGAAAGGAGGAGAGAGAAATTTTGGGTACTTTAACGCATAATTCCATTATCTATTCAGTGAAATTCAGTGAGTTGTCTTTGTTAAAAAAGATAAGCTGTTTTGATTTATTTAGTTGCATGGTAGAATTTCTCCATAAACAGCTGGTAGAGTTTCCAGACGGGAGTATTATTTGTCAAGTCTTGGCCGGCCGTGTTATTTTTTAATCAATATCAGCCAGAGGATGACCCACACGGGGTTTGATGTTTCAAAAAACGATCGAAGAAATTTTCATCTTCTCTCTTTCCTAGCAAATCATAGTCTTAATTTAATCTATCTTAATCTTAATTATATACTGTACTATAGTGTAAATAAAAAATTTTCTTTTAAAATTTTCGAATAAATATTTAATGAATCTTATAAAAATATTAAATAAACACTAAATAAACTTTAAAAAACCTTTAACAAATATTCAATCATCTTTTAAGAAATGCATATTAAAGAGTAAATCAAATTTAATATAAGTGATATGGGACTCACACGTTAAGAAATTAATATAAAATAACAAATTAATTCAACCTATAATAATTATAGAATACATGTGAGACCTACAAATTAATAAGTGTAGACGTGATGCTTATATAAGTTATGTAACTCTTCTCATTAGTTAATTATAATTAGAAAATTATAGAATATCAAATTAATAATTCCTAGGTGACAAAAAATGATTAAATACTATGACAATATCTTTATTAACATTTTGAATATTAAGGTTTTTGAGTGGCTTCATGTGTGTGGAATCTGAATGTGGGTGTGTCACTTATTTTTTTAAAAGTGAAAAAAAAAATGATTTTCTCAACTACCCTCCCCTTCCACGTGGTCCACTTCTATTAAGATGGCTAAAAGAACGTTGAATTAAAATTGAGTTTTGCACCCTTTAGACGATTTGCAAGATGGAAGGGTATTTTTTTGTAGAATGGGTTGCTAATCTGCCTTGTACAATCTCAAGTACTCACTAAAATTAAAATACTTTCTGTTCATTATATCAAATGTAATTGTAGAAGCAAAAACTAGACAATATAAAATCTACCAAGTACTATACTGAAAATGAAATCTGAAAGCTAAAGTAAAAATAAAAAATACTGAAACTTGTTGTGGGTTGTGAAAATGGCTGGCCATTATCTTGAAAAATCTAAAAGCTTCTTTTTATATGCTTCTTGTGAACTGTCTCCCCACTTCAACGGTTGGTTGTTACAAAATATGAATAACTCCTCAACTGCACTTCCTAAATTATAGGAATTTTTGTTTTTCTCAACAAAAATTTAAACTGCAACTTATCAGATAATCTCTATCGTTACAAATAATATGAATCTCAACCAGTAAATATGGGATGTGTTCTCATCTTATCCATTAACATGTGGCTTCACTTTAAAAAATGCAATTTATGGTGTAAACAATAGAGATGCCACGTTGCAATGCAACAAAGAGATGGATTAATTTTATTATTTAATGCAATGGATCGCGTTCCTGTGGGCTGTGGTCACCTAATCTGTTAAGAAGGTATGCTACATATCCATTTCCAACCACCATTGAAATGAGGACAGACTACTATTCTGATGGGAATAATAATGTGTGGATATCAATGATTGAATTATAGGGATGCGACTTTGTTTTCTGACTGTTGCTCTTTGGAAAACTAGCAAAAAGTTTGCTTCTCCAGTTCTCCTTTGAACTAAACTACCGAGAAGATTACTTAATTTGATAAACTATTTTCCAACTAATTTTTTGTGTAACTGTAATAATTTTTTTGTCACCAATAATCCACCTAAAATGGAAATGATTATGTGATCCACGAAAAACGCCACTAGCTAGGGCTTCAGTATCGATCTGATCTGGTGGGTTCAACATCCAGTATTCTAGCATCTTATTACTAATTCTAGTATGTTCTATTCTCCTGTCGTCTCCTCTAACAGGGCAAGCAACAAGGTCAGTTTGACTTGAAGAGAACTGAAACCTCCTGGACTCCTTCCTTTCCATTTGAAAGACCTTGGGAAACTATATTCTGTGGCTCGTCACATAATCTTCCACCTTTTACCAAATTAGTAATTTTATGATGAATTTGGATATAAGACCAGATTAAGATTGTTACCCTTGTATTACAGCAATGTTGCTGAGAAGAAAGATAAGCAAAACTACTGAAGAGAAGGAACCGTGTGCAATTATCTCGTCAATGTATAATCGGATTTTTTTTTTTCTTCGTGTAGTGCAATTTGCATTCTTTAATCATTCAAGGTTTATGGTACAAACAATCAATTCAGTATTTAACAAATTAAAATATATTATAAGGTAAGATGTAAACATGAAACTACAAAATAAAATTAAAACCGTTAAAAACAATGACATCAAATTTAAATCCCTCTTATAATCCATAATAATACAAGTAATATTGATTTGATCCAAAATGATAAGAAGGTATCTATTGATTGGTCCACGTGAATATTCAAAAAAAATTTCTTTTATTAGACTACAAAATCATCAACGAATATGATCTGCTAGCTCTATTTTATTACGGGATATTACTTTTTCAAACTTGGAAGCCGTGTTAGTTTAGTCAACAAAGAGATTACGACCCACACGGAAATTTTATGTATACTTCCTGTAAAGATCGAAGAAATTTACATCTTCTCGCTTCCTTGCGAATTCATACCATAAGTAATACGTCTTCAAAATTACATGCCATAATCTAAGGTATTCTTTATCATCTCAATAATGTCTACTACAGGTTCATCTGGCTGGGATAGTGCTCTCTCCTTGGTCGAGGTACTGGGTAAGAATTAACATTTTTTAGCGTAGAATTTTTTTTTTTTTAAAGTCAAGGTAGACAATTTAAACTTTATAATGTTAAATGTTAAAGAAAAAAAAGATTGTAATGGATTTCATCAAGAGTTTTGCAGTGTTCATTGCTACAATAATTCGGATTGAGAGGTATTTCTCCCGTAGAAGAGATCGAATGAAAACAAGCAGTGTTAGTCCGTTGGATTCGCCTCTTCTGACAACGGATAGATATCGGGAAAATATAGAAAAGAAGAAAACGATCAGATTCACCTCCCAGCAGCTGAGGAGTGCCACCGGAGATTTTAGGACGTTGCTGGGAGTAGGTGGCTTCGGAGAAGTATATAAAGGGGTTTTAAGCAACGAAACCGATGTGGCGGTGAAGGTGTTGTTTGGAAGTTCTGATGAGAGGATTAAAGAACAGTTCATTGCAGAAGTCAGCACGATTGGAAGAAGCCACAATTTTAATTTGATTCGATTCTATGGTTTTTGCTTCGAGAGAGACCTCAAAGCTTTGGTTTATGAGTACATGGTCAAAGGCTCCCTGGACAGGTTCTACTTTTTCCCCCTTTCTTTGTTAGACAATGATTTTGAAGTTAGTATGTGCCAACTCTGCTGAACTCTGTTTGATGATAGGTTTTTGTTTAATGCGCAAGAGAAGCTGGAGTTTGAAAAACTTCATGAAATTGCAACTGGTACAGCAAGGGGGATTGCTTATTTGCACGAAGAAAGTCAGCAGCGAATTATCCACTATGACATAAAACCAGGGAACATTCTCCTTGATGCCAATTTCTTCCCTAAAGTTGCCGATTTTGGGTTGGCCAAGCTCTGCAATAGGGACAGAACTCACATAACCATGACTGGTGAGAGGGAACTCGCGGGTATGCTGCCCCAGAACTCTTGATGCCATACCCTATAACCCACAAATGCGATGTCTACAGCTTCGGGATGCTTCTATTTGATATTATAGGGAGTAGAAGTAACCTTGACATAAACTTTCCAGAAAGCAAGGAATGGTTTTCAAGGTGGATTTGGGAAAAGATTGAGAATGGATATGCGAAAGAGGTAATGATTGTGTGCAGGATTGAGGAGAAGGACAGAGAGGTAGCAGAGAGAATGGTGAGAGCAGCTTTGTGGTGTGTCCAGGACAAGCCTGAGTCAAGGCCTCTAATGAGCTATGTGGTGAAAATGCTGGAAGGAGCAGTGGAGGTTCCAATGCCTCCAAACCCATTTCCACATGCACCGGAAGGAGCAGTGGAGGTTCCAATGCCTCCAAACCCATTTCCACATGCACCGGTAGGAGCAGTGGAGGTTCCAATGCCTCCATACCCATTTCCACATGTACCGGAGGTAGTGGAGGTTCCAATGCCTCCATACCCATTTCAAAATGCACCGGTTGGAGCAGTGGAGGTTTCAATGCCTCCGGTTGGAGCAGTGGAGGTTCCAATGCCTCCATACCCATTTCAAAATGCACCGGAAGGAGCAGTGGAGGTTCCAGTGCCTCCATACCCTTTTCTAGATGTACGGGAGGTTATGCCAACCCGTAATAATAGTGAACCCACCCAGAGAACTTTGACCACCAACAACAGCAGCAGCTTTGATACAAAATCCTCTTCAGTGGGGTGTGCAACCCCCATCATGAGAAAATATGAGATCGAAATTGTCTACGACTCCTAGATGTTGCTTAATATTTGTTATTTGTGATGTAACAATGAAGTGAAGGCTTGATCTCATGCCTGCATTTGCTTTGAATCATGTTTGTTTTTGCTTAGTAATGTTATCCATATAATTTTTTTTTTTAATAATTTTGCAAAGAGTTGGATTTGAATCATTGCCTGAAAAAAGGGGGATGCACTTAAACGTGACTTGACATTACTGAATCCGAAAGTTTAAGTGCAATGTTATTCATATAATAGTTAATTTACCAGAAGAGAAACTCATTTCACTTGATAGCTTTCTCTATGTTAATATGTTATTAATGAGTTGACTCCCACATTTATTGTTAAAGTTGTCATATATGGACCGATTATGATGTTTTGTGACTTCTTTTTCCTCTTATTCAAATCTTTATTTAAGTAATCATACACACTGTGTATTGCAAAGCCACGAGAAAAGTACTAGAATTCATTGACCAAAATGTATGCCCTCACTATTGCGTTTGCTTTAAGTGCAACTTTTTGTGGTAAAGACGCTTCCGTGACAGAGAGCTTATTTGGGATGAATGTTAGTAGAGGGGCTTGTTCAAAACAAATAACTTAGTTGAGGGGTCAATTCCGGGGTTGGTCCTTAAATAATAAAACCGAAAAGGAAGGTTAGGGCCTCAGGCCCAAAACTAGTTTGAGGCCCACTGTCATAGTGAGAATGACTGGAAACCATTGCTAAACCTTCGACCCTCCTTTCTTCTTCCTTGGTCCCTGCTTCTCTCTTCTGTAACGTACTCCATTAAAACCAGTCAGAGAAATTAGTATTAGGTTGAATTGGAAGCCCCTGAAATCCCAATCTCACCTCTCTTCAGCTTGCTTTTCTTGATACAGAATTCTGTTGAAAAGGAAGCTGTTGATATTGAAAGCAATGCTTCCTTCTCTCTAAGCAAACGATGATTAGAGGTGGTTGGAGCTACGTGACTTCACCTCGATCTTTCTCAGCTGATGGGAAAAATCTCCTGGTTTGCACCGCCGAAACGGTCTCGGTCTTCAGCCCCCTTACCTGGCTTGCAGGTTTCGCTTCCCCATTTTTCTTCTCCTTTTGCCTTTCTTCTCTTCACCTTTAATTTCTGTTCTCCCTTTCTTAGTGAGTTAGATACCGTCACTTGATGGCCATACCGCGCTTGTCACGACGGTTATAGTGGTGCCGGCGTGGAATCCGGCCAGCAAGATACTGTGTTATTGCTGGACTGCCTCGCTTGATGGGACAATTCGTTATTGCGACTTTTCCTTGCCGGAGTTGAGAAAAATTATCGATGTTAGGATGCTAACTTTATCCACGTTATTGCATGAGCTACCCTGACACGTGCACTGATTTTGGCAATTGAATTACACAAAAAGGAGGGGAAAAACCTTGCATCAGCAGATTTGGAAGTGTAACTTAGGAAAGTCTTGCCTAGTTGGATCAGTTCTTGGAGAGGGACTGTTTTTTTTTTTTTAGCCAACAGTAGAAATTCACTCAATGGAGAGGTACTGTTCAATAGATATGTAACTGCATTTCTTATGTTGATAAGCAGTTATTTTATTTATTTATTTTTGAAAATGTAAAGCATTAATTATGTTCCTTAGTCATGAAAGAGCAACAATTGCTAAGTTTGACTCTTTCTAAATCTTGCAGTGAAAAAATCAAATGTAAGTGCACCTATTTGGGTTGAAGAAAAATTAAAATTACTATTAAGATTAATGTGGTTAATTTGATTAGAATTATAGAAATTACTTTTAACTTGACGGTATGTTTTGAAGTTTTTTTGAAAATAGGTAATGAAGTATGTTTTGAAGTTGATTAAGAGAGTAGAATGCGTTTTATCTTTATGGTTGTCAGTAAGTTCCAATCAGTTGGTCTTTTCTTCTGTGCATGTTGTAATTCATCAGTGCAGTACTTTGTTTATATTGTTCTTTAACTGCTGAAACAGGCTGAGGTTTTAACTGTTAGTCCTTCAGTAAAATATATTGGCATGAAAAGTAAGTGCAAGCTTCACATTTGGAAGGTTCCCGATAGAGTCCAAGAATGCAATCGTTAAGAAGATAGCACTGTGCCATACAAAGAAGATGACAGGAGAAATGAATATTCCTAACTTTAGTTACTTACAGGGGTGCTGCTATTTCTGCCATCGCATTCAGTTCATCTGGTCAGATGGCAGTCAGTTCATCTTATGTTGGTGACTTTTTAGGTAACTTGGACAAAGGGGATTTTCGTTTTAAGTTCTCTGCTTCCACAAAAAATGATTCTTTTTCTTTCTCTGATACACGTTAGGGCTTGCAATGAGTCCAAAGAACAATCAGATGTTTCAAAATTCCAGCCGGACTTGTCATTCTGTTGGTTCATATAAGTCTTCTATCCTCTTTTTTCCTTTTTTGAACTGCGAATTTATTATAATCGAGTAGAAGGGATACTCAAATTTGCTCTTATTACTAATTTATTCTAGCATCTTATTACTAATCCTAGCATGTTCTCTTCTCCTGTTGTCTCCTATGACAGGACTAGCAACAAGGCAGTTTGGATATGCATCCATCTATGGGCCAGGAACTACCACAATTTGAATTGAAGATAATTGAGACCTCCTGGACCCCTTCCTTTCAATCTGAAAGACATTGGGAAACTATATTCAGTGGCTCATCACATAATCTTCCACCTCTTACCAAATTGTGTCCCCCATTTCTCGGATCATTGTTGGAAAAGAGGATGGCTGTTGTCCAGTAATTTGTGGATGGATTAATTGCAATTTGCAAGTATTCTTTGTGGTTTGTACCACTCTTCGGGGAGGCGTTGGAACAATTGTTATTTATGCCAATTTCTGCACACTGGTGAGCCAGCCCATGCTCAATGCATGCACGCACGGTGTGCAATGTTGATATAGCAATTTGATACTGCAAATGGATCTGTGAAGACTAATGTCTGGAGGTTGGTAATTGCTAACAAGAAAAAACAATCAAAATTTTTGTTTTATTTTAGATTTAGAATTTCAGTTCGGCAGATAATAATTTTATCATCAATTTGGATATAAGATCTGATTAAGATTGTTACCCTTGTGTTACGGCAGTGTTACTGAAAAGAAAGTTTAGCAAAATTGAAGAGAAGGAACTGTTGGCTGGCTAACTGCAATGCTGCATGAGCAAGTTAATTACAATGTACAGTGAAAAGATTTGGTAAAGAACTACCAACCTCCATTAATTTTTCCTGCATTTCCCTTAATTTTTTTAAATTAGAGTTTTAATTCATGGAATTAATTACTACAACAATGATACTTGATCAACTGACTAAACCCATGGTCTACTCTTATTATTATTATTACTTTTTTTTCTCTTTACAGCTAGATGTGTTGTCTCTAAATGCTTCTGCTTCATGCCAATTAAAGGCTTGGCTTGGGATTATTCTAGCTATTCTTGTGTCTGTTGTGGTTGTGTTGTGGTTTAAAGTCGAGTTTTTCTGCACTTCATCTTTGTTATTGGCTAGCGTGTATATCTTTAATCACTAGACCAATGTCTAATTAACTCTTCTAGAGTGAAAGTTATGTTTGACCTCAATGTTTTTGTTGACATGTAATTTTAGTTCTTATTATAAGCGTACTTTATTTAAGAAATTGCCTCCGTTTATAGGATTGTGGATATTGCAGTTGCACCACCAGTCCCATTCTTGGTCTTTACAAGTTAAACAACCTCCAACCTGCATCTAGATTTCCCAAACCCATTGATTAAAAAAGGAAGGGAAGATTCTCCTTCCTAACTCTCCTAAACGACAACAACTCTTGAATTCTCTTGGTTCAACTAACACAGCATGCATGTGGTGTCAACGATGGGGGCAAGTCCCATTTGGACCATTAATATGTGCCGACCCCATTATCTAGTGGTAGAACTCTAATTGGCATGTGTTCTTGCTTCTGCTTTTTACAACTAAATCATGGGTGCACTTTATTGTTGTCCTCACGCTTATACTAATATTTTTTTTCCCATCCTCAGGCTCTCTTTTTCTCACATTCTAGTACCTTTTAAGCACAACGTCGTTGTCTAAACTCCAAACATCAATAATTTTAAGATGGAGGTTCTCATTTTATATACAATTTTTCTTTATTTTAAGGTTAAATCCTCAATTTGATCCCTGAACTATTATACGGACCATTGATTTGATCCCTAAACTAAAAAAGTTCCTAATTGGTCCCTAAACTATTGTATGGATCTCCAATTTGGTCTTACTATTTACCAATTTATCACAAGTTAGTCCTTCCGTACAAAAATCAATTGACGTGTCTTGTTATTAACGTGATACGTGATTGTTAAGTTACTGTTTTTATCATTAAGTAACTGTTTTTTACTGTTAAGTAACAAACATATCAGTTATTTTTTATACAAAAAGACCAACTTGGGATAAATTGGTAAACAGTATGGACCAAATTGAGATCCATACAATTGTTTAGAGATCAAATCAAGGATTTTTTTAATTCAGGAACCAAATCAAGTCCATACAATAGTCTATAGATCAAATTGGGGGTTTAACCTTTTTTTAATGATTTATTTGAGTAAGGTTTGGGTTTAAATTTAATTATTATATTACTTATATTTCAATAGAAGTGTTATTAGGGGTTTGCCTCTTAAAAGAAATTTCTGCTCATATTTTTATTTAATATAACGTTATATTATATGAATCAGGCTTTCGAGTCCAATGGTTCATTTTCAAATCTTAATATTTGAATTTAGTTGATCGAGAATTCAACTCCCACTCACAACTTAAAAAAAAATTCTCCATTTTCCCAAAATATTTTCCCATGTTCAAAACATATATATATATATATATATATATATAACTAACGTTATATCATATAATAATATGTGATTTAAGAAAAAAAAGGTGCGTAAAAAGGGGTGACCAATTATTATCTAGGAATTCATGATTCTTTAAGTGCACATCTGGCATGGGTTCCACTAAAGGAAATTTCTGCAAAATAGTTGGTAGTAAAGGACTAAAAACACACCGGGCATGACACATCAACTAATTGGCTTATTGTTTTGTTCCATCACTGTTGTTATTGTAATAATTTTATTATTATTGATCAATAAGACAATAATATGGAAGAAAATCAATAAGACAACAGCAGTTATTGTTGTGAAGAAAATTCTATTTTTTTTTTCTCAAAAATATGTTAGAAACAATTGATGCCGACATAATTAGTGGTGCTTCATCGAGGAGCAATAATTCAGCAGCAACCTTTTCACTCACTTCATTTTCCATGTGGAGCCAACAACAGCTTAATATTAATAAGAGTTTGGTAGAGTTAGTATATATTTATTAATTTAAAAACTTTAATTTTAGATAAAGATAAAAAATTTAAACATATGCAATGCTAAGTAGCTAATCTTTTGATAGACTAAAAAAATTAAAACCAAGGAAAGCCTAATAATGTTCAATCTTTCATCATAGTTTAGAAGTGAATTAACCTTCATTTTTCTCAAGATGAAAGGGGCTTCAATCCAACATGCTTTCCTTTATTTTGGAGTTACTTACTAATACATCTTAGGGCTGGTTAATTTAGAGGAAGCATCAATCACTTTGAATTAATAGGAAACTTTAACAACTTTGAGAATGAAACTGGCCTCTCTGGTTTCCACAACCAAATAGGCATTTTCCCCTAAAAAAGCAAGGTGTAACAAATTTAGTGCACCTAACACAAAACTTCTCATATGGAGATTGATTACCAAGGGAGCAGTTTTGCTGCAATACTTTCTATATATGTATACATGTTTATACTGATGACAGGTTCATATTAATTTACATGTTGATGATGATCAGGTACAAAGTTCTAAGAACTTCCAGTGGAGATTGAATCTTGTGGGGAAACTGAGAAAGGACTGTCACATCCGTGTTCAAGATCCTCGAAGCCCAAGAATAATTCCCGATCTTCTTCTTCTGGCATCTTCCACCTCTCCTTATCTGTCTCTCCTTCCAGCATTGCCTCCAATACCTGTCAATTACAGGTGAAAAGCTTCTAAGTTTGATTTGATGCAAGTGAGAATTGACATCAAGAGATTTTCACCACAAACAAAAAGTATCATTGGCTTTTTTGGTTCATGACAAAAGAATATGAGCAACCTTTTCAGGTGAACAAAAATACTTTCAAACTAGGCTGATTTTAGGTGCATTATTTTGATGCAGTTAACATGTCAAAATGAATAAATCTCAACAGTTTGATATAGAAAATCTATTATTTTGACAAGTTACACACTTGTTGTGTCTGCGAGGTGGTATTGCAGTTTCATAACTAAACAACAAAAACCTTACTATTGAAGAAAAAAGAAGAAAAAAGAGGAATTAGAATGGAATAGTTTATGTATTATGACCCACATCCCTAATCATTTTGGTAATCATATTCTGATCCTCTAATGACTTAGACTTCCCACATTTTTTTTTCTGTATGAGTTGAGAGATTTAGGTTAGGTAGGACAGAACATCTTCTGACTAACTGAAATTGCGTGAAATCCCAAATACCCTCTACCAACAACACCAAAATTTAAGACTCATCCAAGTTAACATGCTGCAGCTTTCCTTCTGAAAAGGATATGCAGAGTCATAACAAGCAAACCACCAAAATTTTAAGAAGATGATTTATGACAAGACGGTATTATATTGGAACATTTCTCCTCTTTTATACAATTAGTCATTCATCCATTCAACTAAAAGGCAACTATTATACATGGACAATACAAGTCAGTAAAATGTAAAGACCCTTATCAAGAAGTTTAATTTATAAAGAATGGACCACCGTTAGGCTATGTCAATACATCTGTCAAAAGAAACTCTTTGTTTGAATTATATTTAGAAATGATGGTTATTGTGAAGCTGATATTGCAGAAGAAACACATTCATACATTCATATATTAGTGTTAGACATTCCTTGAAAAATAAATCATTCTTTGAAAATGTAGATAAAGATTACGCCAACTAAACCCAGTATCATTCTCAATCTACATTTAGAGGACTATTTCTTTGTACTATAATTTATTGTTGATATGGACATTCTGTTTTAGGACCATCAAATAACTCATAGAGCATGAATTATTGGTGATTGACATGCACAACTAAAATAAAGAATGAAAGATTGTTACCTCACTCATGGTTGGACGCCGGGATGAAGATGACCGAATGCAGAGAGATGCTGCAAAGGCAAGTCTATTCAGTTGCAAAGCATCGTAGTTTCCCCGGAGTCTAGGATCCACTAATTTTTCGTTCTCCCCATGGTTCAAAAGTGGTTTGGCCTATTTAGTTCAAAAGGCAAAACAATTTTTTACTAATTCTAAGTAAATGGAGATAAAGATTGCTTAACAAACAAATGTGTTGACTTTTCCTAAGTGCCTTTACCCAGTTGTGTAAGCTTTGGTGAGAACTATCAACTGGTTTCCTGCCTGAAATAATCTCCAGCAAAAAGACTCCAAATGCAAAGACATCAGTCTTCTCATCCACAATTCCATGCATAAAGTACTCTGGCGCTAAGTGCCTACAATTACATGTAGAAGAAGAAATCCCATTTCAATCAAATACCATTTGCTCATGTTTGATTAAAAAAATGGAAAAAAAAAAAAAAGAAAGGTTGTGACATTTATTACCCAAATGTCCCTTCAATTGGGGCAATAGAGTGGTGTGTCCACTGAGAAGGAAGCCATTTTGCTAGTCCAAAATCTGCTATCTTTTAACCCAAATTCGAGAGAGAAGACCATAATCAGCCTCAAAATACTTGAATGCAATAACTGACAAGAGTGATGGAGGAAAGAAAAAGAATATAAATTTGAAACTGCTACCTGTGGCTCAAAATCTGCAGTTAATAGAACATTTGAAGACTTGATGTCTCGGTGAATTATCCTTCTTTGACAGCCTTTATGCAAGTAATGGAGGCCTCTAGCTGTTCCAATTGCAATCTTGTACCTTGTTTTCCAATCCACTGGTGGCAAATTTGCATCTATAACCGAAATAGATTGCTATGAGAAAATCAAATGTATAGCAAAACCCAGAAATGAAACAGTAAACTATGCAAAAAATATATAGATATCTAGACTTTTTTTGTTCCTCGATCTGTACCATGAAGAACGGAAGCAACAGAGCCTCTTGAAGAGAACTGAAAGATGAGATAAAGGCCATTGTCAATACAACAGCCTAAAAGTGGCAACACATTTGGGTGGCACACATGACAAATTGTTCCAATCTCTGTCAAAAATTCCTTCTCTTTCCTTTCATTGGTGGAAGCTTTTGCTAATCTCTTCACTGCAATCTCCACCCCATCCTTTAGAACTCCTTTATACACCTCTGCATAGCCTCCTTTTCCCACCAAATTCTCTGTTACCCATCAAACCAAATGCAAACATTCAAAACCCAAAAACCAAAAGACCTCAAGATAAGGTTGAAATGCACTAAAATATACAAAGAAAGAATCCCAAATACCAGAGCTAAAAGCATTGGTGGCATCCGAGATTTCTTCAAAGGAGAAGCATCTCCAAGTGGGTCTCTGGATATGCACTGGAACCAGCTCAAAATCGTAACTTTCTTCACCAAACCCATGTGGGGTTCCAATATCTTCCTCAAAACTGCGTCTTTTCAGTGAAAAGAGGCGTTTCAGACTGTTTGTTCTGATATACTTCATTGCAACAGTACCAGGAAAAACTCTGTTTCATGCAGAGACAGACCAAAAACGACTATAAAATGCTCTCCAACTTCAATTCACTCGTCAAAATGGTCAAGAAAACAAACATGTAACTAGGATGGATTTAAGAGAAAAGAGACAGAGTTAGGTGTGTATTTGATTGGTTTTGGGGAGGGGAAATTATGGGAAGAATGAATAAGCTAGGAGGGGATTAAATCCAGAGATTAGGATATACAGGGAGGGGGAAGAGGGGGTTTCCATTTCCTATTTATCATGTGATTTTCACTAAAAACATTGAAATAAAATGGATAAAACGTTGAGTGAATGTGTCGGGGCGCCAATGGGGCCGTTGGGGTTGCGCTCCGGTGGAGTAGTCAAACAGGTTTGGGTCTCACTCATCCGATGCGACCTCAAACCTTTTCATTCGGCTCCTCTCTTTTGTCTTTTTGGGAATCTCAACCTCTTAAAATAAAGTCTTCCAACACGTAGCATCACAGTTATTACTACATAAATATTTGTTAAAATCACATAAATATAAAATATGTTTAGTTTAATTATTAAGTTTAATTATCAAAAAACAGTTAATAGCTATAAAGGTTAATCTTATTTTTTAAAATAGTTGGTAACTATTACTTTAAGAATTCAAATGAAAATGATTTTGAGATAATTTTTTTATCACCTTTCAGTATAATTTGACGTGTTATTTAAATAATTGATTTTTTTTTATTTATATGAGATCCATAATATTAAATGCATCAACTTATTTAATAATATGTGAAAGTTATATCAAACGGTAATATAAAAATTTATCCTTATAGCACTGTGTTATTTAAAATCATGCAATGTGTTAATATTTACAAATATCCTAACAAATTATAATGGATAAAATCAATGAAATCAAATAAAATTTTATATGACTTTAATACATGTTTATGTGGCTATGACCATGACCTAAATTAATAGGAGAAGCATGTGGCTCTTACTAGAATAATTATGTGGAATAAAGTCAAAATTTAAATTATTAATAGTAGTGTCATTTATATACCATTTATAATCATTTTTAATTTAAATTTTAAGTTTGAGATGTCACAACCTAATTAGTTGGTTCTTGTTGAATGATACAAGATATTCGATTTCTGACTTTTGACCTAATTCCACCATTTAAATAGAATTTTACCACTACATAAAGGTAGAAATTGGATCTGTAATTTCAAAGTTTTGAGGGATTTTGTTTCATCAATACACATTACATTATGATTTCATTGACTGAGTAACGTTGTCTTAGTAATTTTTTGTATATAGAGAATCCGTTCAAATCACAATCATATGTTCTAATGATCAAATCAAAATGTAAGCTATTAGAAAACAAATATCTAACATTATAACATAAACTATATATGATAGGAGTTAGAATCTAGAACCATTAACTAGGTCAGGCTTATTTAATAAAATAGCTAGTTACGCAGCTTCAAAAATGATTTCATATTAGATTAGTTATTAAGCAAGCAATGTCAAATTTTTTAATTAGTTTCTATCTATCAAAACGATTGAAAACAAGCCCCTCAACTTATTTTTTCCGTCTTTAATATAGTAAAATAATATTAGAATAAAAAAACATAAAATGCAAACAAAACAAGCAATTCAATGGTAATATCTTTTTTGCAAAAATATAATATATTAAGTTTGAGAAGAGATTGTTTTTTATTATGTAATTCAAAATTTAAAAAGGTATATATATGAAAAAATAAGAAAAAAGTAAAAATTAAAATATCCTATCAGTTTTAAAATGTTAAAATTTTTTGTAAAATTATTTAAATATTTTTAATAAATCTTTTTTACATATTAATTTATTAAAAAATTTTAATACTTTGATTATCAAAACGTTTTGAGTTTCCATAATCCCATAAAAATATTTGAGATGTGTTTGTTTCTTAATCAGTCACATTTATACTTAAAAACAAAAATGTGGCTTACGCAATCCAGATTAAAAATAACTAAAATATTGGCGGATTGATATAATAAGTCTACTAACCTTCAAAAATGATATGGCAGCGGCTAACCAAATTAATTAATATACAAGTTAAAAAGATAGTAAAATAGAAAAATGGATAAAATTTTGATGATTGTCTTCTTAATTTAGTCAAGCCTAACTTACAAACCTGGCCAGCTGCCCTCATGTCTCATGTAAGCAAACCCTGAGGCACGTAGGTCGGTAGCTGGTCTTTCTTAGTATTTCTCTCGCTTTATTATTCAATTTTACACTCTTTTTTTTTTTTTTCATTTCTCATGAATTAGTATAATATGAACTGTCACATAATTTCACAACGAAATCTCCATTTCTCTTTCCTACCTAAATGATGGATTTGTTTAATATGTATCTTTAAACATATAGGTTAAAAATATAATAAATATTTTTTATAATAAATTTATATTAACAAAATAAAAATTAATATTTAATTTATCAATTATTTAATTAAATTCATTTACTTGATATCAATATTAAAATTAATTTATTTTTTACATTTTTTATATACATTAATGATAAAAAAATATTTTTCATATGTGCTTTAAGGATATATGTTAAAGAAATTCCTAAATTATAAGAAAAACTTCATTATGCTCCAAATGACATATTTATTAGCAAAAAAATCATAAATTTTTAGATGAGGATAGGTCTCATGATATTAAGATTTTTTGTTTATTTAAAAATTTTATATTTTATAATTTAATATAATTCAAATTATGAAATAAAAAATTAATTTATCAATATCTCAATTGGTAAAAGTTCAACGATTGTTACTCAATCTAGAAAATTGATGAATTAAAAACTCTCATCTCCCCAGTATAAAAAGAAATTGAAAACCATTTTAATTTACCCTACCTCTGTGGAATTATCCCCGGTCACCCCATAACAATATCATATATATTTCTATATGTAACAATCATTACGACACATAAAGGACCAAAAACTTGATCCTTAATTTCAACTGGTTAAAACTCAGATTTTCAGTTAGAGTATAAAGACAAAATCTGATTAGGTTAGCAGTAATCAAGATGGTGTAATCTCCCACGGATGGGAATAAAAGCACAACACACTTAAGAATTCATCTAATTAGGCGGCGGCGCTGAACATTTCTCCATTAATTAACATTTATTCTCAAGAAACAAAATTAATTAGAAATCTACTCCCTTATTAATAAGAGTAATGATCTGTGGGACGATTTTGGAGTACGACAAGTGAAAACAAAGTCAAATTGATAATTGCTGTTGGGATTGCTCCACTTGTCGTCCTCCAAAATCGTCCCGCAAATTCGTCCCGCAAATCATTACTCTATTAATAAACCTACCAATCCATTTAAACAGAAGCAATTGAGTTGAGTTCCTATTTTATCATCTCATGCCGTAATGGATTACAAAATAAGAATCATTAATAAGGAAATAATTTTAAGTATTAAGAACTCACCTTTATTTAATAATTTAAATAATACAATTCAGTACAATATAATTAAATTGCATAACAAATCTTTAATTTAAATTTATAGTACATAACCAGATAATTTCTTTCTATTATTGTTTTCCAATAATAACTATTAATTTGAAGTCCTTTCAATTAGAAACAAACCAACACCATTTTCTTATTACTGGCTGACGAGAAGGAGCCCTAAGAAAGTCAGAATGGAAGCTTCTGTTTCTCTTAGGTTGTGTGTTTTTGTCTTGGCATAGCTACCAAATCCAAATATCAATATGTGAGAAATTTTCTAACTTATCTGGCTCCATAATTAATATTAATTAGTCTTGGCATAGCTACCAAATCCAAACATCAATATGTGAGAAATTTTCAAAATTATTTAGGTCCTTAATTAATAGTAATTAATAACAACTACAGTAACTAATCTAGTAAAAGATTATGGTATCACCTGCTCATCAATTTTCATTTATTTCGTCAACTGTTCATCTCATCTTTTCTTTTAGGCTTAGGTCACTTTGAAAGTCTCCTAGATTTTTGCATGCTACAATTTATAAAATAATAAATAAACACTCCCCTAATTGGATTTAGTTGTCCCAATTTAATTTTTGTATAAAATGTAACTACATAATTTATATAATAAATATATGATAATTGAAATTAAGAAGAAGAAGA